CACAGTGATGCACGCCCATAATCCCCTCTACTCGGGAGGCTGATGCCAGAGAATTGCTTGAACCTGGGAGACAGAGATGGCAGTGAGCTGAGATCGTGACACTGCACTCTAGCCTGGGTGACACAGGAAGACACTGTCTGAAAAAGCAAAATCAAAACCAAAACTACAAATAAAACGACCCTCTGATCTAGCAGTTCCACTCTTGGCATTTCCTATACCTAAAGGAAAGAAAAGCAGTGTATCAGAGAAATATCTGCAACCCCATGTTTACTGCAGCAAGCACTATTCACAGTAGCTGAGATAGGGAATCAACTGAAGTGTCTATCAGAGGATTTATAAAAGTGTGGTACACAATAGAATACTATTTGGCCATAAGAAAAATGAAATCGTGTCATTCCCTGGAGGACATTATGTTAAGTAAATAAGCCAGGAACAGAAAGATACATGCTTCTCATATGCAGAACCTAAACAAGTTGATATGATGGAAGTAGAAAGTGGTTACTAGAGGCTGGGAATAGGAGAGGGGATAGGGAGAAATTGATTAATTAATTGGTTAAAGGATATAAAAATTACAGCTAGATGTGAGAAATAAAAGTGTTCTATAGCACTATAGGCTGTCTAGTTAATGATTTTTTTTTTTTTTTTTTTTTTTGACGGAGTCTCTGTTCCCCAGGCTGGAGTGCAGCCTGGGCTTACTGCAACCTCTGCCTCCCAGGTTTGAGCTCACTGCAACCATCTCAGCTCACTGCAGCCTCTGCCTCCTTGATTCAAGCAATTCTCCTGCCTCAGCCTCCCAAGTAGATTAGATTTCAGGCACCCGCCATCATGCCCGGCTAATGTGTTTTTGCAGAGATGGAGTTTCACCATTTAGCCAGGCTGGTCTCAAACTCCTGACCTCAGGTGATCTACCTGCCTCGGCTACCCAAAGTGCTGGGATTACAGGCGTGAAACACTGCATCTGGCCTAGGGTCCTCTTTTAAATGTGCAAAAAACCATTTCTAGTTTGAACACAGTGTAAATTTCCTTCGAGAAATCTCACAGGAATGAGATCATAACTGTGGAGCCCTGCAGGCAGGCCTGGAGAAGGAAAGGCTTCATTACAAAATCCCTTTCGCTGCTTTCCCTTAGTGGGGTTTCCAATGATGTGAACTAATTGCAACATTTTTTCAACATTTACTTTGGTTAAATGCAGGTCTCCCAGAAGAATGTACCAGGTGACTGGAGGGATTAACTTCAGAAATGGTGGCACTCTCTGGTTCCCACGATCCTGGTAGGATCTTTTCATTCTACTTCTTCCACACACGCCTGTCCCCCTCTGCCCCAACCCTGCAAGAGAAGACATCAACTGGCATTTTGGGAACCTTAATCGGGTCTCTTTACCTATTGTTATTTTCCATGTGGGCTTTGCTAGGAGCTAGCATTTCCTGCTTTCGGGTAAAAATAGAAAAGTGACAGAAAAGCTGCTAGTAGAGAATGAAGGTGAGAACCTAGAAAGAGAAATGTGTCTGTGCCCAGCAGTAGAGGAAGGAGCTGAGCTGTTCCCATGTAGCTGAACCAGCAAAAAGGAAAACTGCCTGGGGATGATGTCAACACAAACTGCAGAGCAAATGCAAAGCCTTTGCATTGATGCCTTGGCAGCCATTCATCATGGGGACCCCCTTGTCTGCTTCCAAAGAATCACTGATGATGGTCATAATCGGAGGTTCTTGCTGCAAATCACTCTGGCGAATTGCATTTAATGCCGTGTGAGCTTCACCATGTTTTGTTTGGTTGGAGCCACTGAGCTGCTCAGGCAGGGAAAGATTGCGTATCCATGAAGATCTCACGCTGCCATTGAGGGTGGAGGCTGGAATCCATCCTCCATCATTCAGTTCGCTCGTCAGCAACATGCAGCACCTAGGAGTCCCACTCATATGGAAGGGCACTCACGTCAGCTTTCCTAAGTGTGGATGTTTGACATTCGGGCTGTCTCTCCTCTCTCCTCACTCAACTCAGTGATGCCTGTGACTTCTTATTTTGAAAAATATCAAACGTATAAAAAGTTTAAAGAACTATACAATGAGCACCTACTTGTATATTCCCCACTGAGATTCAGTGATTAACATGATCCTATTTCACTGCCTCTCTTTCTCTGTCTCTGTCTGCTGTCTTGTTCAAACCATTTGAAAGCCAATTGCAGACATGGTGGGACATATCCCTACACACTTTAGTGTGACTCTCCTGAGAATAAGGCCATTATCCTCCATAATCATAATAGGCTGGGCATGGTGGCTCACACCTGTAATCACAGCACTTTGGGAGGCCAAGGCAGGCAGATCACTTGAGGTCAGGAGTTGGAGACCAGACTGGGCAACATGTCAAAACCCTATGTGTGCTAAAAATACAAAAATTAGCCAGACATAGTGGTGCATGCCTTTAGTCCCAGCCACTCGCAAGACTGAGGCACGAGAATTGTTTGAACCTGAGAGGTGGAGGTTGCAGTGAGCCAAGATCACACCATTGCACTCCAGCCTGGGTGACAGAGCGAGACTCTGTCTCAAAAAAAGAAAAAAAAAATACTGTCATCACAAAAACAAACAATCTGATGGAATTGGGGGATGAGAACAATTAGAGAACTATCCCTATGGAGGTCAAAACAGAGTAGATTTCAGGTTCTATTGTGCAAGCAGGCTTTTCCAATTACTCCCTACAAGCATACTTAACGTTTTGCAATGAGCATGTTCTTTTGCAGTCAGAAAGAAACAACAGCAACAACAACAACAACAAAAAACCTTTTAAAGCTGTGATCAGGATCACTGGGTCTCAGCCCATGTCTGTGGTGGCCACTGGGCATGTCCTGGGCCTCCAACACCAGGTGGCAGTGTTGGGCTACATTCAGCAAGCTGGTCCTAATCGGTGAGAAGCCTCCCTGGAAACTAGGGAGGGGGCAAGAGAAGGGTGGTTGCACTTTCAAAGTAAATGTCAGAACTTCAAGAAAACCTCTAAAGACATAGGAAGGGGGAAATGACAGAGAGCTTACCTTAATGAACAAGCCTCTTTGTGGGGGAAGATGTTAAGTACATCGTCTCAAGAGTCTGACCTACTGAATTCAAACCCTCATTCTATCCCCTCCTAGTTGATTGCCATGGACAAGCAACTTGACCCAGAGAAGGCTGGATTTTGTTTCATCCTACGTAGGATGACCGGCAGGAATACAGGTGACAAAAGCCCGGAGCGCAGGGCCTGACACCGTGCAAGTACATACAACGTGCTGGCTACTTAGCTACGGTGACTCACTTCTCTCCACAACTGAGCCACTGCTGGTTTCATCCTCTCGAAAGCCTCTTCTGCCTCTGCCCTAGTCACCTTGTTTGCAGTGCCACCTGGGTGGGGGTGGACAGTGGCTTCTTTTGCAGAGTTAGGGAGGTGGACAGCACCCACATGTTGAGAGAGAGCCAGCATCACAGGCTGAAGCACAGGAAGCTTCTGCACTGGCCTCCAGAGTCCATCCTGTAGCATACATGTACTTACACCTGATGGACAAAGAGGCTTAATTTTGGGTCCAGAATATATTGGCACAAAGCCACCCTAGAATGGAAACACTGAGGCCCTTGGCCGGCTTCGCCAATCTCCCTCCGAAACATGCACAGTAGCTGTTTTGATTCATAGACAGCATCAGCCTTCTCCTAAGAAGCAGGTCGGGCCAGGCACAGTGGCTCACGCCTGTAATCCCAACACTCTGGGAGACTGAGGCAGGCGGATCACCTAAGGTCCGGAGTTCAACGCCAGACTGACCAACATGGAGAAACCCCGTCTCTACTAAAAATACAAAAAATAGCTGAGTGTGGTGGCACAGCCCTGTAATCCCAGCTACTTGGCAGGCTGAGGCAGGAGAATCGCTTGATCCCGGGAGGCGGAGGTTGCAGTGAGCCAAGATCACGCCATTGCACACCAGCCTGGGTAACAAGAGCGAAACTCCATCTCAAAAAAAAAAAAAAAAAAGATAAAAAGCATCAGCTTGGAGAGGACTCGGGGTCACTGGGTGGCTCACCGCAGCCGGCAAGCTGACCCAGAGCCCTCCCTGACAGCTCTTGCCTCTGCCCACCTCCACCCAACCTTGCACCGATTTCTCATACCTGCTGCCGGTGTGTGCCCTGCCTTGTCAGAGCGCCTCTCACGCTTCCTCTAGCTATCTGCACCCAGCACGGTTAGTGCAGATCTGCTCTGCTATCTCCAGAGGTTTCCTCTGCCCGGAATGATCCCCGAGTCTCACGTGATTGGTTCCTTCACACCGCCCACGTCTGGCTGCAGCACCCCTCATGGGGGCCTCCCTTCCTAGTTTCAGTCTCCTGTCACTCTGGGCATTTTCTTTTTTTTTTTTTTTTTTTTTTTTTGCTCTGTCACGCAGGCTGGTAACACGCCATTGCAAAATCGAGGGATTTCTTAATTGAATGTGTGGGAAAGGAGAGAAAATCATTTAGCATGCAGGCTTATTAACACTGTTTAGGTATGCTTTGGGGAGGTTCAATTGCCCTTGTGCTACTGGAAATAAAGAATAAATAGATATTCTTGCTAGTTTTTATTGCATTAGATCATGTTGTTTTAACCCAAGAACCTCAGGAAGTGCAGAGTAAATTGAAACAATCAAATAAAAAAAAAAATGCTTAAACTGAGTTATAGTCGGTTGTGCCACAAACACTGAAGTTCAAGTTGACATTTCATCCTGAGCTCATAAAGTTATTAGTGGGGAACCCACAGCAGGAAGGAGGAACAGAGAGTGTATCAGACTTCGACATGCATGGTGTGACTCTTGTTACGTTGGAGGAAAATGAACCTCACTATGTAATAACCTAACTTTGTTGTGTTTATTCATTTTTTTTCTTTTTATGTGTTTATTCATTTTCTTCTAAGTTCAAAGGTCAGTTCCAGGTAGGAGAGCAAATGTCCTTATATTTTTTCCAAATAGACCGTTTGCTTGGTGGGCCTCACGCAAGTGGAATGGAAGCACATTAGGGGCAACCCCCATCCTTGTCTGGGGATTGTGTCACTATCCAGTGAGCGCACAGTGAGGGTGGAACTGCAAACGTCTATATGACACGCCTGCATCAACGACAGCTTTGCTTTACCTTCGTGCAATTTTTGAAAAAAAGAAAAAACCAAAAGCGTTGCATTAGGGGCAATTCCTACCCCTGCCTCCTCTCTCCCGTGCCCATAGCTGGGGCGGGGGGGGGGGGGAAGGGGGGGGGGCGGAGAAAACTGCTCCTAGAGGGGCGGGGTCCTGTAGCCCAGCGGCCTCGCACCCCAAGTGCTGGTAGCACCTGGCATTATCTGCAGATTGTCAGCAACCCAGGGAACATGAGCAAAGAGTTGGAATCATTTCAGTTTAGAGTGAGTCATACCGAAATGCTGCCGGTAGAACACACCGAACACCAGTAATATAAGTGTATTTGGGGAGACAGGTATTCCAAAGACAGCTACGGTAGCCTTTAGGCACAACTGTGAGCAGGAGAAGTCTGTCTTCAGCTCCTCCCCCTTGTTCTTCCTTTGAGCGAATTCTCCTATTCACAGTCCCTTCTGCTGGTCTCATAGAATACTAGTAATGGATCTTTACAGCTTACCAAATGGTTTTTAAAAATCAATTTAATTAATTAATTAATTTTTAGAGAATGTGCCCACTGGAGGTTGCAGAGCTAAGATCGCACCATTGCACTCCAGCCTGGTCAACAAGAGCAAAACTGTCTCAAAAAAAAAAAAAAAAAAGAGAGAGAGAGAGTGCCTCCCTCTGTCACCCAGGCTGGAGGGCAATGTTGCAATCATAGCTCACTGCACCCTTGAATTCCTGGGCTCAAGTGATCCTCCCACTTCAGCCTCCCAAGTAGCTAGGACCACAGGTGCACATCATCACTTTTTGCTAATTTTTTAATTTTTTGGTAGAGATGAGGTCTCACTATGTTGCCCAGGCTGGTCTTAAACTTCTGGGCTCAGTCAATTCTCCTGGCTCAGCCCCCCAAAGCGCTGGGGATTACAGGTGTGCTGTGAGCCACCACACTCAGCCGCAAATATGTAAATATTAATCTTCAGGTTGGAACCTTGTCTTTTGGAGTTTAAGGTAATGAATATTGTAGCCTCTGAGTTTTCCTCACTCTTATTCCCAGAATTCTGAAATTTCTGCAGAACGTGGTGCATTTTCTTGTGCTACTATGTAAGATGAAGAATTACGTGTTGAAATTATTTTTTCACTGAAGAAGAGGCCTTTCACCAAAGCTACCCAACCACATTTAGGTGAGAAGGTAGTTGATGGAGTGCATAAAACCCAAGAATGGGGCCACGAGTGGTGGCTCACCCCTGTCATCCCAGCACTTTTGGAGGCCGAGGCGGGCATATCACCTGAGGTCAGGAGTTCAAGACCAGCCTGGCCAACACAGTAAAACCCCATCTCTGTACTAAAAATACAAAAAAAATTAGCAGGTCATGGTGGTGGGCACCTGTAATCCCAGCTACTCAGGAGGCTGAGGCAGGAGACTCACTTGAACCCAGGAGGCGGAAGTTGCAGTGGGCCAGTATCATGCCACCACACTCCAGCCTAGGTGACAGAGTAAGACTCCATTTCAAAAAAAAAATCAAGTGAGGACGCTATCAAGGGAGAGTCATCCTGCTCTGGAGCACTCTTCGTCACGCTTCAGGGCAGCCTCTGTCCTTTCTTCCTACCTCTGCTCAGCCACTACTGCCCTTCTGGGCTCATCTCTGTCTGCTGTTCAAGACCAACTATCCAACCTTCACATTGTCCAGCGGTCTTGAGCCCACAGCATTTCCCCTTTCTTCTCTCCTTAGAGTCTTGTCTCAGGGAAATAGGCTTGGGTGGATAGGGTTTTGATTGTAAGGCCAGAAAGCCCAATTGTCTCCATTCCATGTGGCTTGGGAGACTCCCTCTGGTCAGAACTGATGCCCTATGTACCACCATCTCTCAGCATCACTGAGGAGGAATTCAGGACCCTGTGATGGGGGAGAATCTTGGATGAATGAACATGGTTTTTAATTCTCATTCAAAAGGCCTCGGTTGGCCAGGCACAGTGGCTCACGCCTATAATCCCAGCACTTCGGGAGGCTGAAGTGGGTGGATCGCTTGAGCCCAGGAGTTTGAGACCAGCCTGGGCAACATGGCAAGACCCCATCTCTAAAAAGAGAAAAAGAAAGAAAACGAAAATGATCAGAGATTTGAAAAATCAAAACTGAGAACTAAGTATCAAAATTTATCTTTGGACAATCCTATCCAGAGAGAGAGTCCTTCTCCAGCACATTGGATAGTGCAGAAAAATTGACACCATTGATGACAATGACTGAAATACAATGAAAATTAATTCACTATTTTACCAGACCTTTTCCATGCCATGTTCTAACGAGGAATAAGGGTTTCCAGATCAGGTTTCTACTGTGTTTTGCAATAGAACCAGAGAAAAATGGCCATCCGAATAACACAGTTTTGCATGTGTTAAAATGATCTCTAATTAGCACCTCAAGAAGTAATTTTCTGGTTAGAAACAGTGCCCCAGGCTGGGCATGGTGGTTTACACCTGTAATCCCAGCACTTTGAGAGGCCAAGGCCGGCAGATCACCTGAGGCCAGGGGTTCAAAATCAGCCTAGCCAACATGGTGAAACCCCATTTCTACTAAAAGTACCAAAAAATTAGCTGGGCATGGTGGCACGTACCTGTAATCCCAGCTACTCAGGAGGCTAAGGCAGGAGAATCACTTGAACCGGGAGGCAGAGGTTGCAGTGAGTCGAGATGGCGCCACTGCACTCTAGCCTGGGTGACAGAGCAAGACTCCATCTCAAAAAAAAAAAAATGCCCCAATAAACCAGAAGAATAGATTGAAGGGCAGCTTGGTAAAATACAGAGAACACAGAAGACTCAAAAGACCTGGGCGAGTCCGAGGTCCCCACGCCACCTCTTTGTAGCTCCATGACACTCATCCGTCTTCACCATGACACTTATCACAGACTTGATTTGATTTTCTTTTCTCTGAAGATACGGTATTTGTATCATAGAATTGTCAGGAGAAACAAATGAAGAAAAGCGGAGCTCTCTGAAAACTGCACACACTCTGTCAATATTAGTTATCATCGAACGGTCTCTATGAGACCAACCCTAGCAAACAGGTTATGTCGGAATCTGTTGCAGGTACTGGGTTAGGTGTCTGCCTGCAGGAACTTCTTACTGCTGGAAGAGCAGGGTTCCAATCTCTTGGCAAGTCTTGCAAGAACTGGCCTCCCGCTCTAGGCCAAAGGTTCTCAAAGGGTGGTCCCCAGTCAGCAGCATCAGCATCATCTGAGAACTTACAAGACATGAAAGAGACGCACTAGAGACTGGACAGGTGACCATTCAATTTTTTTTTTTTTTTTTTGAGACAGAGTCTCACTTTGTCGCCCAGACTGGAGTGCAGCAGCGTGATCTTGGCTCACTGCAACTTCTGCCTCCCTGGTTCAAGCGATTCTCGTGCCTCAGCCTCCTGAGTAGCTAGGATTACAGGTATACATCACCATACCTGGTTAATTTTTGTATTTTCAGTAGAGACGGGATTTCACCATGTTGGCCAGGCTGGTCTCAAACTCCTGACCTCAGGTGATCCGCCCGCCTCAGTCTACCAAAGTGCTGGGATTACAGGCATGAGCCACAGTGTCCCCTTTCTATTAATATTATTTAAAGATGTAAAAAATGCAGGGAACTTGAGAAAGAAAGCCATGGAAGGAACCATTGATGGCTTATTGATACATCCTGCAGTGACTGTCCATCTGTTTCAGATATTTGTGGCCGCAAAGAAAGCAGCTTGCCTCTACAAACTGGGAGAAATGAAGACAAGAGCTCTAGCTACTGAAATTATTTTCAACCTTTCCCCAAATAACAGTATTTCAGAGGCATTGAAAAAATGTGGTATCTCAGCAAATGACACTTCGGTTCTAATTGTTTATACTAATGAGGGAGAAAAACAAATCAAAGGTATCTAATATCTCAAGTAGAAGGTCAGCAGGTTTCTCTGAAAAATCTTCCTGAAATAATAAATATTACAAAATTCAAAAAGAAATATACACTCTCTCCACAAGAAGAATGTATTGGGAACATTACTGGATGGTATTTGTAGAATGTCAACAAAGGATGTTTTGCAAAAAGTCAGAAATACTAGCAGAAATTTTCGGCATTAAAGAAAACACTAGGCCCGTAATCCCAGCACTTTGGGAGGCCAAGGTGGGCCGATCACCTGAGCTCAGGCATTCAAGACCAGCCTGGACAACATGGCAAATCCCCATCTCTATAAAAATACAAAAAATTAGCCGGGCGTGGTGATGGTGCACCTGTGATCCCAGCTACTTGGGAGAGTTTCTTGAACCTGGGAGGCGGAGGTTGCAGTGAGCCTAGATCGTGCTACTGCATTCCAGCCTGGGTGACAGACTGAAACTCCATCTCAAAAACAAAACAAAATAAATTGATTTTCCTTTGCTCATTAAAATGTTATTTTATTTTTATTTTTTGTAGTGACGGCACCTCGCTATGTTGCCAAGACTGGTCTCAAACTCCTGACCCCAAGCAATCCTCCCACCTCAGCCTCCCAATGCACTAGGATTATAGGCATGAGCCACCATGCCTTGCCCCCACCTCTTTTACTACTTTAAAAGATAACCACTGTTACTAGTATTTGTAAGTGCCTTCTAGTTTTCTACTTCTACTCAAATATATTTTATTTTTATGTAATTGGAATAAAAATTGCAAACACTTCAAAAAGAAGAAGAAATACAAATTCTCAGGCCCTACCTCAACCCTACTAAATCATAAACTGTGGGATGGGGCCCGTGGATCTGTTTTTCCAAACCCTCCAGATGATTCTAATGCATGCTGAAGTTGGAGAATCAGTGACCTAGGTCTTTGGAGCCCCTGCAAGAACCAAGAACAGGGCCCCCACTTTAATAGCCTTTTCATTATCTTGCATAGTGTGAGCACAAAAGAGACTTCAAATCCTAGAGCCAGGAGGTACCTGAGAAGCCATTTCTCAGGTCAGTTTAATTTGTAGCTGAGGACGTGGCAACCTATGGGGCTAAGTGAAGTGTGACCCAGAGCCAGGCCAACAGCTGGTGTGAAGGCAACTCTCAGCCCAG